TTTCAAGCTGTACCACAAAGAAGGTATCGGCTTGTCGAACATGCTGTCCGAACTCGTTTGCGAGCGCAAAACTCACATCGGGACGCTTCGACGTTTGTTGTTCGTTCGTGATCAAGTCCTTAGGCACTTGCCATTGGACTGTGTCACCATTCTTTAAGAACGAGACAGTATTGTCCTGGAAATCGAGCTTGACTTCATTCGCTCGAAGCCAATCCATTCCAAGGACAAGGTCGACGCCTGCAAGAAGGGGTAAAACATACGCGCAGATCTCTTCGTGATAACCCTCAATCTCCATGTTGATCCGTGTCTGCCCTTTGCTTGGGATGATGCTATCATTACCCAGGCGAATGGGGCAAGACGGTCCTTCAACGAGGATCGTGCGTGCTGTAGCCCACTTTTCGTCAAAGAGGGAAACAGTTGCACCCGTGTCAACAATGACTTTTGCATTTTCCCCGTTCACGCTACCCGCAAGCAAAAAAATTTGTTGATGCTTTGGGCGAATAGGACATGCCACAATACTCGTCGAACGTTTTAAGTACACCTTGACGTTGTGACGAGCGCGTCCATGTGACTGAGAGTTGGTCCACCACACATGGTGTCCCTTGTCCCACGCCGCTAGGACCGGCCATCCACGAAGCGCATGGAACAATTCGCCTTTCATTGTGCGAGTCACCAACGCGACCGAAGTCAGGGGGTGCTCTTGAGTGCAACGACTCACAATCTCAATGACAGAAGGCAGAATGTCCAAGCCACAGAAAATAATTGAAAATTTATCTTGCATTGCTTCCATGGAAATTTTCTCAAGTGGGTACGATCGAGGATAAAAAACAGAGTTTTTATTAAAAGAAGAGGCAAACAAACAAGAGACTTTGCAATCAGCAAGCTTCTCTAGCTTTAATATATCATCATCACATAGCACATATGCCTCATCCACTCGATCTACTCCTCCAACTAGGTACCCACACCCTAGTTGGGCTTCTGAAAATCCTTCTTTCCAGAAGATCCAGCGCCGTCTTGCTTAGGCTTCCCAGAATACTTGATTGGGTTCTTGTTATGGCACTGGGATGCAATGTGCCCCATCCATCCACAGCCTCTGCACCGCTTGTCGGAGAAATCCGGCTTGTTAGGACCATGACCTCCCCCTCCGTTAGGCCTCTTGGCCTGTGGACCCGGCTGGTGATCACGCTGCTGGAAAGGCCTTTTGTTCCTACCGCTTCCACCCTTCGCATTCTGGGGCCGGTTCCCATGACCACCAGAGCCTTCAGCACGGGGCTGCTGGCCTGTCTTTTCGGGGCCAAAAATGTACGTGCGAATGATGTTGTCGGTTTTGATCACCTGCTCCTTCATCTCCTTGTAAGTCATCCAATTGGTCATGCCGCCGGTCATGTGCGCCTCCTGCAGGTTGACAGGGAGGCCCTTCATGAAGATGTGCATCATCTCCTCCTCAGCCAAGGGCTTTTTTAGCAAGCGTGCTGCGGCCTCAAACTCGACCGCATATTCCTGTACCGAACGGTCATGACACTTGATACGCTCAAGGCGTCCGCGCAGTTCCAGGTCGGACTTCTTGACCATGAATGCCTCTTTCAGCGCGGTGCAGAACTTCGGCCATTCAAACGGTCCCTGCGCCTGCTTCTTAGCGCCATACACTGCCCTGCGGGCCACCTCGTCCAACGCACGAGTAGCTGCAGTGACGCGAGCCTCGGGGCGCACATTCGCAAGGATCATGGTGGAATCCACCAGGTCGAGCCAAGGCTGCACCTCCGTCTTGTTATGGTTAAACTCAGGCAGAGGCGCCGAGAGAGACCCAAAGGGCGAGGTCTCAGTTGGAGGTGGCTGATGCATAGCCGTCGCAGCGCCTACCGCCGGGGGTGCGGGCGGAGCGGGTGGCGGCTGAGCAGCAGGAGCGGGCCTACGCCCAGGAGGAGGTTCGTAAACACCCTCCCTCCTAAGATGGATCAAATGTTCATTGAGCTTGTTGAATGATGCTTGCAAATTCTTGCAAGTCTTCTGAAACCACTCAATTTGGCGATTTTTAGTGCCCAGGCTGCGACGGAACTCAGTAACCTCCTTCATGGTAATGCTCAGCCTAGCCTCGAGGTTCTGAGTGTGCTTCTTGAGTTCATCAATGGACGTCTGCTGCTGCAGGATGGTGATATTCTGAGTTGCCACCTTAGCCTGGAGTTGGACAATCTCCTCGGAGATAGGATAAGTCATGCCTTCACCCTCAGTGAAGTCATTTTCATCACCAGTGGCCTCCTTTCCACCGGTGTTATCCTCTTCCCCAAGGTTGTCAGCCTCACCATGGTTCTCAGCTTCACCATGGTTCTCAGCTTCACCATGGTTCTCAGCCTCATCTCCAAGGTCCAGGTCCAAGTCCTCAACATCATCCAACTCAAGGTCAGCCATTGCCTCATCTTGATTGAGGTCAATCTCAACAGCATTGTTCACCACCTCATTAGGTGCAGTGGGCCCTTCCTCCCTTGCCATATCCTTCTCTTGGCCAGATGCCATAAGGATTAAGGGAGCTTGTAAGATCTGGGTTGATTCTGTTAAAGTCTTTTTACCACCTCAATGGTAAAGCAAGAAATTCTTATAAAAGAAATTTCTTCTACAGAATAATCCAAGTTACCAAAGGTAACAGATTTGTTGTCAAGCACTCCCAATCACCTAAGTGAAAGGGCAGGGTCTATCCAAATCTCAACGAAGAGAACTTGTATAACCCTCAACAAATCCTCCAGATCCAAGTTTATACTCCACTACTCAACAGTAGAGAGTCTTCCACCAAAAGGTGGGCAAGAGAGATAAATCTCTCTTCTTAGCTTGAAGTTGCAGTTCTAGATCTTGTAGATCTTGAACTCTTCAAGCTTCCAGATCTTGAGTGTTCTCTCAATGAGAAACCACAACTCCAATATCTATATAAAAAAAATATCTAGGGGCGAAATCCCCACTAGGCTTAGGATAACCTTAGCTCTAGATACCAATGTAACATCCACGGCCCTTATAACAACGGGCAACCGTGTGTTAAATATAGATCCTCCTTAACAATTTATTTAAAATCAAGATACAAGGGCTTTCAAGATTAAACTAATCCCACCAAGGGATATTCTAGCCTTAATAGTGACTTGAAGAGTTGATGAAGCTTTAGTAGGTAGGTAGCTTGCTTCTGGTAGAGCTTATCCTTGAGATAACAGAAGTCTAGTTGTGTAGGAGAGCTTATTAGGAGAACCAAAGACTTAGAGTGAAAATCCCATTTCCAAGTTAGATTGTTGGAGTTGGGAAGTGGGAATGAGCTTGAGAGCTCCAACCCCTTCCATCATACCCCTTGGGGCTCTTCCCAACCATGGCTTCCATGGTTGGGGAGCTAATAGGCTTGGAGCCTATGTGGCACTTTAGTTTGGTTGGGGAAAACCCAACTTGACACAATTGTATGGTTGTTTTAAACTTTGTGTGGATTGTAACAACAACTGTCAACTTCCCATTGGTTGGAAATCCAACCTTGCACATTCATTTGGTTGGGTTGGAAAAACTTCCCAATCTTCACTTTTGTTGGGTTGGAAAGTCCCAAGCCTCAAAGTTGAGGTTTGGAATACCAAGCCAACCTTTCTCTCCCAACTCAACCTTCAACTCCCGTAGTCCGATTTCTGTCGAGACATTTCTCGACCTAGACTAGGAAGAAGTTAGGTGGTGCGTTACACTCCTCCCCCCCTAGGTGGCAACGTCCCCGTTGCCTTAGGGTGCTTCTTAGGACGAGCGCTACGAGCACGCCGTGTCACATTACGACCAGGGTCAACACCATCCACCGGTTGTGCGGCAGCTCGTCGGGCCAGATCTGTCATGTATGACTGAACTTCAGTTTCAGTCAGATGCTCTTCTGGTTCCCATGAGTTGTGTTCAGGCCCATAGCCTTTCCACTTGATGAGGAACTCTCGTACGACTTCATAGTCTTGCGGCCCATAGTCTTGCGGCCGCGCTGTCGATCACGATGCATCAGCACTCGTTCGACTTCATAATACAGTTCCTCCCCCAAGACGATCGTTGGTGGCGGCAAGTACTTGCCCTCTGCAACGTACTTGTTCAACAGAGACACGTGGAAGACGTCGTGAATCTGTAGTGTATCAGGTAGCTTAAGCTTGTAGGCCACCACACCAACATGCTTGATCACCTCGAATGGCCCAATCCATCGAGGGAACAGCTTTCGTGCTCCAGGGATTTTGAGACGAATGTTCTTCGTGCTCAACAAAACTTTGTCTCCAACCTCAAACGAGACTTCCCGGCGTTTCATGTCGGCGTAAGACTTTTGTCGCTGCTGAGAGAGCTGCAGCCAATGGCGAGCAGACTTAAGCGCTTCTTGCTGCTTGCCTGCAAAGTCTTTAGCGGCTGGAATTTTCAATCCGCCGATCCCATGCGTAGCAGGTGTTGTGGGATGCCGACCATAGTTCAGAATGAAAGGTTTCTCACGTGTACCTTCATGAACTGAATTGTTCACTGCGAATTCAACGACAGGCAACAACTCGTCCCAATCATCCTGAGTTGGGCCAATGAATGAACGAAGCATTGGAAGGTGGATGACGAAAGCAGGAAGGAAGAGGGGGGGAGAAAAAGGGGTAGAAACGGGGTGAACTCATGACGCTAAACTGAGTCGGCTGCCAGATCTTACCAGGCTGTTTTGAATCACCGTTGACCAAGTCAGCATAAGAATTCCCCTTGAACCATACAGTCAGCACGACCATTCCCCTTGAGTCACATTCAGTGCCACCACCATCAAGTCACTCCCCCCTGCTTCAACCCTCACCACACAAATACAACCATCAATCATTCCTCCCTTTCATCCACAATTCAGCCACACCACACAAGCACAGAATGCACATCAACAGCACATACATAAATATAGCATCAACAACTACAAGCTACAGACCTATAACATAATCTATAACAGTCTACAACTTGCTACTATTCAAAAGCCTAGCAGGTGCACGGTGCAGCAGCGGATCTAAGGGCACTCAAGAGCCAGGCAGGTAAGCAGCAACAGATTCAGCAGCGGATCCAAGGGCGTGCCCTTCCCCCTCGTGCCATGCCTCCCCATTCCAGCTCACCACATTCCTCCACCTTTCCTCCCATCTCTCCCGCAACACCCAGCAAGCAGGGTGGAAAAAGGGGTAAGTCCCTCCATGCACCTCCCTCTAGCCCCCACCAGTCATGCCATCTCACCCACCACACACGTCCCCTCACACTCCCATTGAACACGCCCTGGATCTCATCTGCTGCTGCTGCTAATTTTTTTTTTTTTTTTTTTTTTTTTTTTTCACCCCTTTACTTGGCAGCTACCTTCCCTGGCTTGAGAATGCCACTTGCCGTCGCTCCTGCCGCGGCCCTCCTTGTCGCCGCACTGCTTGCAGGTCTCGGAATTCCACTTACGGCCTTTGGGGTGTGCGGAGCTGCTGCTGCTGCTGTTGCTATTGCTGCAGAAAGGTTGCTTGCACTTGCAGCCTTCACATCTACCATCGCAGTAGGGCCTGCAGGTGTCACCTTAGCTGCTGTCGCCTTAGCTGGCACGGCCTTGGTTGGTGGCAGCCACCTTATATGGCGACGCCTTGGCTGGGGTCACCTTAACTGGCGTCACCTTAGCTGGCGTTGCCTTAGTAGTTGGTGGCATCACCTTAGCTGGCGTCGCCTTGGCTGGCGCCGCCTTAGTTTGCGTCACCTTAGCTGGCGCCGCCTTAGTTGGCGTCACCTTAACTGGTGTCGCCTTAGTTGGCGTCACCTTAGCTGGCGTCGCCTTAGCCAGCGTCGCCTTAGATGACGTCGTCTTTGCTGGTGTCTCCTTAGCTGGCGTGACTTTAAATGCTGCAGCTGCGACGGTCGCTTGACCGCTCTGCGTCGCTCTGGGCTTTACAGCAGCAGCGGCACCCATCACATCCCTGGGCCTGGGCTTCTTGCTGGGCGGCTTAGCCACGGGCTTGGGTCGCAGAGGGGAGAAGCCGAGCGACGCACGGGGGGAGCGCATAGCGCACTGCTCTTCCTCGTTGAAGCGTCCCACGCGCACTGCAATCACGTGCCGCCACGTCTTCAAGAGGTTAGCGCGGCGCGCAGATCCAACAAGAGACGGGGGGATCCGAGACGCCATAGCAGTAGGAACAAGAGGTTAATCGCAAAAGCGAAACGAGAGCCGAAGCTAGGAGGTGAAGCTGATCGAAGCCTCGAGGAGCTCGAAGGTGAGTCTGACGGTTGAAGGACGAAGAAAAGCAACTGCTGTGATGGTGGGAATGAAGAGGACGGTTGGGCTTTGTAGTGTGGGAGGGGAGGAGGTTCCAAGGCGGAGGGAAGAGTTGATGGAGCTCGGATGGAGAGAAGCACTCTCGAGGCTCCGGAGGAAGAAAGTCTGCTTCCCGATGTGGGAAGATAACATTCCAAAGGTGTTATGAGACTGTTATGCGATTGGATCCGAAAGCAAGAAAAGAATTGATCAGCCAATAGGAGCTGTCCGAAGGACAACATTGCGACTCGCTCATCTGCAATCACAGAGCTTATGGGCAGCCAGTTCAAGCGTCGCTGCCCGAAAATGAATACAGGTCGCGTTTCCGCTAAACTCGCCAGCTGCCCGTAGACTAGGTTCGTCAACAAAAAAGGGTCCTAGTGGCTGTTGATTGGTTGACCTTGTTAGAATCTTACGGGAAAGTTGTGTGTCGACTATCGAAAGGGAAAGATACAAAGGAGAAACCTAAGGGGTTGTACCCCACAGTGAGTACCCCACTAAGCCTAACCAAACTATAACAAATATACACATATGTTTGACACACCCCCATAGGCAAAGTGGGGGAGAACAGAGGGTCACAAGACCAGTCAAGAAGTGCAAAGCAAGCTCAGGGTGGATCACAACGTCACCACGCAGTCTGAGCACAAGCAAGAAGGCCACAAGGCCAGTTCACATGCAGAAATATATATGTAACAACAACAGTACAGTGATATCTACCTACAAGAACAAGCATGCAGGAATACATTTAAATCATGTTACAAACAAGGCCTACAGCAAGTGAGGAAGAGTGGGCGCAAGGCCTAACAAAGTGCAGAAACGCTGATGATCACCAGGCGGAAGCGCCTTGGTGAATATATCAGCAGTGTTGGCCCGAGTGGCCACGTAGGTAAGACGAAGCTGGCCACGCTGCTGCAGCTCTCGAGCAAGAAAGTAACGGAGAGCGATGTGCTTTGTTCTGTGCTCCAGTCTGTGCTCCTGACACAAGGCAAGGGCGGCCTTGTTGTCGACGTACAGAACTGGAGGAGAACGAGGCCTCTCTCCCAAGTCGGTCAGCAGGTGGGTGAGCCAGCGCAGCTCCTGTGCAACCATGGCTGTGGCGTAGATCTCTGCCTCACAGCTGGAGCCGAGAACTGAAGACGAACGTGTAGAACGCCAGGAAACTGAACCAGAACCAAGGCTGAAGGTGTAACCCTGTGACGACCGCTGCGTAGCCTGGTCGTCAACCCAAGAGGCGTCCGAGTGACCTGTGAGGACAACGTCACCCCGTCCTCCAAGCACGAGCCCCATGCCCGATGTACTGCACAAGTAGCGTAGTACCCTCTTGGCAGTATCCATGTGCACCTTTCGGTGCCGACCAGGAGCCACGTAGCGAGCCAGAAGGCCAAGAGGGTACGCAAGGTCAGGACGAGTGCAAGTCATCAGGTACATGAGGCAGCCCACTAACTCTGGGTAAGGACCACTCGGCTCTACGGACTCGTCCGAAGGTGGAGCTGAGAGCGAGTGACCTGTAGCCAGAGGAGTGGCCTGTGCTGAGGACCAGGTGAAACCGAAGCGCTGAAGGACCTGCTGCACCATGTGTGACTGAGTCAGTGTGATGGTGCGGCGTGCTCTGTCCCGGGTGATCTGCAAGCCAAGGTAGCTGCGCAGTTCACCCAGGTCTGTGCACGTGTGTCTCTTCTGCAGCTCCGACTTCACCAGGGCAAGAGCCTCACTGTCAGCAGTGGCAAAGACCAAGTCGTCGACGTACACGAGAACGTAGAACGGCGGCAGAGAAGTGTCGGTGCGCAAAAACAGCGACGGGTCAGCAGTCGACGGAGCAAACCCAAGAGCCGCAAGTGTCGTCCTCAGTGTGTCGTGCCACTCACGTGGCGCCTGGCGGAGACCGTAGACCGGCCGCCGGAGGCTCCACTGGGTACCAGGAGGGAACGACCCAGTGAAGCCAGGAGGGCGGCACAACCAAATCTCCTCGTGCAGGCTGCCCTGTAAGAAGGCTGTGCTGAAGTTAAGAGAGTGAAGCTCGTAGTCACGCTGAGCGGCAACGTGCAGCAGCACCCGAAGAGTGGTCATCTTCGGGGTGGGGGAGAAGGTCTGGAAGAAGTCAACTCCCTCTCGCTGACTGAAGCCTCGAGCCACGTACCGAGCCTTGAAGACAGGCGGAGAACCTGGCGGCCGCTTCACCCTGAAAATCCACATGCCACTGACAATGTTCGCCCCAGGAGGGGGAACCTCGTCGAGGTAGGTGCCTGTGGACTTCCGGGATGCCATCTCTGCGTCCATGGCTGTCTGCCACTGAGAGGAGTACTCACCCGCGATCGCCTCAGCGTAAGAGCGCGGGGTAGGGATGTCTGGTGCATCCGGGTCTCCCTCAGGGGCAAGCAGCATGGATACGAGATGAGGCGCAGCGGCTGCAAGACACTCAAGGTCCTCCTGTCTGTCCTCAAGGACGTCCGTGCCAAGAGCACACTCACCCCCGACGGACGGAGGACAGACAGACTCAGACTCAGCAACAAGACTGGCGGCGTAGTCGAGACGACAGGCAGCAGCAAAGTCAACAAGCTCAGCGACTAAGGCAGACGTAGCAGCAGACTCAAACGACGGGTCAGTGACAACAGTGGCAAGCAGACGCGTGACAGTAGAGTGCTCAACACGAAACCGGTCAGACGCAGGGTCAGCAACGACAGGCAGAGAGGACGCAGGGGGAGACGGCAGAGGAACACGCAGCGGAGGAGAGGAAGGACGACGAACTACAAGGTAAGAGCCGGAGACAGCCGGCTGTCGCTGACGAGGAACATGACGACCGGAACGACCAGAACGGACAGGTGAGACAGGACGCGACGCAGGCTCACGACGCTCAGCAAGGCCCCTAGTCTGCTCTGTGTACGGAGAAGGAGCAGGCAGCGGTGAGCCAGGCTGTAACGGAAGACCAGTAGACGAGGGAAGACTGAGAACCTGACGAAGTGCAGAGTCAGGTGGTGGCTGAGACGACGGAGACGGCGGAGCGAAGAACAGGCGCTGCTGAGCAGTGCCACCAGCACCAGCAGCTCCAGCACCTCTAGCAGCTCTAGCACCTCCAGCAGCTCCAGCACCTCCAGCAGCTCCAGCACCGCCAGTAGCTCCAGGACCCTCAGCAGGTCCAGCACCTCCAGCAGCTCCAGTACCCTCAGCAGCTCCAGCACCGCTAGTAGCTCCAGTACCCTCAGCAGCTCCAGCACCGCCAGCACCTCCAGCAGCTCCAGTACCTCCAGCAGCTCCAGCACCCTCTGCAGCGCCAGTACCCTCAGTCACAACACCGCCAGCCCCAGCAGCTCCAGTACCCTCCGTACGAGCACCGCCGGGACCAGCGACACCAGCAGAAGAACCCCCAGCAGTAGAGCCCTGAGGTGCAGAAGCGCGACGCTGACGGCGACCGTACCAGTCGTGCAGCTGCTGGGAGGTGAGGGGCACACGCGGACGAAGACGGCTACTCCAAGGAGACCGCGGAAAAGCAGTCGCAGAACCCTCAGGCGACTCACCCCCAGACTCAGCACCCCCAGGCTCCGCACACGCAGGCTCAGCACCCCCAGACGCAGCACCTCCAGACGCAGCACCCCCAGGCTCCTCACGCTCAGCGCCCCCAGACTCAGCACCCCCAAGCTCCGCACCCCCAAGGACAGCACCACTCGCAGCAGGACCGGAGTCACCAGTGACCTCAACAGGCGCAGGCGCGGGGGGGTCTACCTGAGAGACACCTGAAGGAGCAGGACCTGGCGCGGGGAGGGGGTCTACCTGGGGAGGACCTGGGGCGAGAAAGAGCGGCGGGGGGGGGGGGGAGGAGCAGTGCGGTAGGGGAAGAGGCGGTAAAAGGGGACGGACTCGCCAAAGGTGACGTCCTGAGACGCAAAGACACGGCGCGAGGCGAGGTCGTAAAACTGCCAGCCAGGCGCGTCAGGGACAAAGCCAAGGAAGACGCAAGGAATGGCGTGAGGGGAGAGCTTGTCCGCGGTGGTATCGCGGACAAAGGCACGAGCACCCCAGACCCGGAAACGCGACGCGTCGCCAACCTTCCCCGTCCACAGCAGTGTGGGCGAGGTCTCCGGCAAGGAGACACGGGGCCAAAGGTTGAGCTGATGCGCGGCGTACCGGACCGCAAACGGCCACAGAAAATGGGGGGCAGCCGCATGGATCATGGAGGTACGAGCGACCTCCATGACTAAGCCAATGCGGCGCTCAGCAACCCCATTATGCTGAGGAGAGGCCGGAAGCGTGAAAGTCTAGCGGATGCCGTGCTCCGCACAGAAGGCTGCCAAGAGGTCTGAGGAGAACTCACCACCTCTGTCAGAGTGCAGACGCAGGACAGGAAAGTCCGACTGGAACCGCTCGCGGAGCTGGAGACGAGTAGCGCGGATCCAGGGGATCAAAACATCAGGGACATCCCCCTTGCGCTGCAAGGGGAAGACCGTGGTGTAGCGCGTGTAGTCGTCGACAACCAGCAGGAAGTACCGCTCGTGGCCCTGTCCACGGACGCGGGCTGGGCCCCACACGTCCAGGTGGAGAGTCTGCAGTGGAGCCTCTGTGGGAGGGAACGAGGAGGAGTGAGGAGCGGCGCGCTGCCGCCCCTCGACGCAGGGAATGCAGGGCGGCGCAGGCGAGGGAGGGAGGGCAGGCAGAGACCTGGGAAGCCCAGAAACCAGGAGGCGGGAGTGCATGCTGCGTAGGCGAGGCAGGGAGGGGTGACCAAGGCGGTGGTGCCACAGGAGAGTGTCGTGCGACAGCCGGCGACACTCACACTGTGTAGCTACCTGAGCAGACGCGTGCAACCGGGGAGACAAAGGGGCGGAGCGTGACGCAGTGGTGAGGGTGTACAGACTGGACCCCGGCGCACGAGCGAACGTGGCCAGGTGGCGACCAATCTGGGAGCACGTGCAAATCGCCACACGCTGCCGGCCAGGGGTGAAGGTGTCAACCCCCGCATCCTGGAGGACAGCGTTACTCACCAAGTTCGTAGAGAACGAGGGGAGGTGGAGACCAGACAGCTCACCAGACGGGACCGCCGGACACGGAAGCACAGTGGAAGACCGTGCAAGCACTGGGCCCCCAGAGGGGTCAGCCAGTGAGACAGGAACAGGTGCAGGGAGGGGAGTGACTGTGGTACTGTCGCGAAAGAAACAGCGGGAAGCACCAGAGTCAAGTGTAAAGGTGTGCAAAGCCTGTGCAGGCGCAGTACCAAGGGGAGCAGACTCACAAGCACCTAGTGCTGCAGGGGCTATACCAGGGGTTATACCAGGATCCGGCGGCACACACAAGTAGCAGTCACCCTCAGCACTAACAGACAAGGCATACATAGCAGTGAGAATAGCAGCATAGTCAAGAGCATATATATCTACCCTCTGCCCAAGCAGCTCCACCCAGTCGGGGAGCTCAGCCTCGTCGCCAAACTCGGTACGCCAGGCGTCACTCAGACGGGCGAAGCAGTGGGACTGGGTGTGACTAAGCGTCCCACAAGTCTGACCCGTCCGATCTCCTGTGCGAATGACATACGGGCAGCGAACGGTACTCAAAGACCCTCTACTCTGAGCGTACCACTCGTGAAGCTGCTGGGACGTAAGTGTCTTGCGTGGACGCGGCTGCAGCTGCAGCCGGCCACCGCCAGACGTTCCCAACTGACCAGCTCTAGGGCGACAGCTACGACGACTACCGCCACAACCCCAACTAGCGTACCACTCACGAAGCTGCTGGGGCGTGAGAGACTCGCGCGGACGTCGCTGGAGCTGCATCTGGCCACCGCCAGTACCAGTAGCAGTAGCCTAGCAGAGCAGGCGCGGCAGGCAGACAGGCAGGCAGGCAGGTAGGTAGGCAGACAGGTAGACAGGCAGGCAGGCAGGCAGGCAGGCAGGCAGGCTGGCAGGCAGGCAGGCAGACAGGCAGACAGGCAGGCAGGCAGGCAGGCAGGCTGGCAGGCTGGCAGGCAGGCAGGCAGGCAGATGGCGCGGCAGCGCGCTAACAAGGCAGGTGCTCACCAGTGTCGGGTAGAGCAGGCGCTCGCCGGGCGAGCAGGGCCGGCGCTCGGCGGGCGGCTGCACGGGGTCCAGGGGCGGCGTCGCGGGTCCAGGGGCGGCGTCGCGGGATCCAGGGGCGGCTGCACCAGGGGCGGCTGCTCTGGGTCCAGGGGCGGCTGCACCAGGGGCGGCTGCTTCAGGGGCCAGGGGCGGCTGCTCTGGGTCCAGGGGCGGCTGCTCGAGGGTCCAGGGGCGGCTGCACTAGGGGCGGCTGCTTCAGGGGCCAGGGGCGGCTGCTCGGGGTCCAGGGGCGGCTGCTCGAGGGGCGGCTGCTGCAGGGGCCAGGGGCGGCTGCTCTGGGTCCAGGGGCGGCTGCTCGAGGGTCCAGGGGCGGCTGCACCAGGGGCGGCTGCTTCAGGGGCCAGGGGCGGCTGCTCTGGGTCCAGGGGCGGCTCCTCGAGGGGCGGCTGCTGCAGGGGCCAGGGGCGGCTGCTCTGGGTCCAGGGGCGGCTGCTCCAGGGGCGGCTGCTGCAGGGGCCAGGGGCGGCTGCTCTGGGTCCAGGGGCGGCTGCTCGAGGGTCCAGGGGCGGCTGCTCGAGGGGCGGCTGCTGCAGGGGCCAGGGGCGGCTGCTCTGGGTCCAGGGGCGGCTGCTCCAGGGGCGGCTGCTGCAGGGGCCAGGGGCGGCTGCTCTGGGTCCAGGGGCGGCTGCTCGAGGGTCCAGGGGCGGCTGCACCAGGGGCGGCTGCTTCAGGGGCCAGGGGCGGCTGCTCTGGGTCCAGGGGCGGCTGCTCGAGGGGCGGCTGCTGCAGGGGCCAGGGGCGGCTGCTCTGGGTCCAGGGGCGGCTGCTCCAGGGGCGGCTGCTGCAGGGGCCAGGGGCGGCTGCTCTGGGTACAGGGGCGGCTGCTCGAGGGTCCAGGGGCGGCTGCTCAAGGGGCGGCTGCTGCAGGGGCCAGGGGCGGCTGCTCTGGGTCCAGGGGCGGCTGCTCCAGGGGCGGCTGCTGCAGGGGCCAGGGGCGGCTGCTCTGGGTCCAGGGGCGGCTGCTCTGGGTTCAGGGGCGGCTGGACCAGGGGCGGCTGCTTTAAGGGGGGGGGGGGGGGGCCAGGGGCGGCTGCTGCAGGGGCGGCTGCTCCAGGGGCCAGAGGCCGCTGCTGTAGGGGCGGCTGCTCCAGGGGCAAGGGGCGGCTGCTGCAGTGGCGGCTGCAGCAAGTAGCAGCAGCGGCAGCAAGTAGAAGCAGCAACACAGGCGCAGTGCAGCGTGTAGGCCTGGCGTGGGCTGTACTGGCCGCGTGCGGGCCTGACGTGGCCTGTACGGGCTGCGCGAATGCCTAGCGCGGACTGTACGGGCCGCTCTCGGGCCTGACTCGGCCTGTACGGGCTGCGCTAACGCCTAGCGCTGACTGTACGGGCCGCGCGCGGGCCTAACGTAGGCTATACGGGCCGCGCGCGGGCGTGGCGCGGGCTGTACGGGCGGCGCGAAGGCCAGACGGGGGCTGTACGGGCTGCTCGCTGGCTACGCGCGACAGGACAGGGCAGGGCCGCGGGGCAGCGAAAATCGATGCACCTAAGGGCGCATTTCGGGCAGAAAAAAGCAGAGAACGAGATTCGGGCAGGAACACGGAAGGTTTAACGGTGGGCCCTAAAAAAAAAATCGTCCTAGGCTAGGAACGTCCTAGCTCTTAATACCATGTTAGAATCTTACGGGAAAGTTGTGTGTCGACTATCGAAAGGGAAAGATACAAAGGAGAAACCTAAGGGGTTGTACCCCACAGTGAGTACCCCACTAAGCCTAACCAAACTATAACAAATATACACATATGTTTGACAGACCTGGTGAAAGTAGACGGAATTGGCTTCGTAAGATCAGCTCGAGGCCGCTCGAGAATGTCGCTGTTCCCTCATTGTGGTTCGTGAACACTGGAACCGCCGCCTCACAGCTTCGGCGAGTGCGATAGAGACAGATCCAGGGCCTCAGATTTCAGAGAAAAAAAGCTGATTTAGGTAAAACAGGCTGAGATTTCAGACTGATTTTAAGAACCAGGGCTGATTTTTCAGCCATTTTTTTGGAAAAGAACAGGAAAAACTGTGATATTTATAGTGTAAAATGGCATAAAATGGCTAATTTGTCTGATTTTCAGCATAAAATATTGTGCCAACTCTGATTTTTCAGACTAGCCCAAAACCAATCTGAGGCCCTGGACGGACCCCATGCTGCGTCCTAAATTGACTTGGGTTCGGCCATAGCCGCTCCCGCCACCAGACCAATCGCGGAATCATGGCTCTTGGCGATCGCGTTCAGTCCCCGACAATTTGGCGAGCTTTGATAAAAGGAGGGATGCGATAAAGCAGGGTAATTGGATAACATAATTTCGAGATTTTCTACTTCAGATCTAGATCTTGGACACTTAAGTAATATGACCTCTATATCTCCAAGTCCGTAGTGTTTTGGTTAATTTATTTTGACAGAAAATCCAGCTCAGTGCCATGCCTCTTCACTCATGCCCAGTTCCTGCTAGATTAGTTAGGGTGCATTCCTGTGGAGACACAAATGTCTCAATCGCTTTGTGACACAAAAACAGCATAAACTGTAGTGTGTCCCAATTGCGAGTCGCATTTCCGCGACCATTACTGTATTTTTTATTGGTCAGCGTGAAACGCGCTGACGTCGCTGACGAATTGTAATCCGACTCGTCAATGTGAAAAATTCGCACGCGGCTCGAAATGTCAATGCACCTGGACAGCCTGCAATGCCAATTTTGTGCGGGAAAAAATCCCGCTCGTCGAAACCACACCCCAGCCAAGCGGTTGAAAAAAGGGATGTACAGTCATTTGTGTCACCCAAACAAATGCGCACAACTGTACATCTCGCCAGTCGCGATACATTGGTTGTTTGTGACACAACATTTGGCAAATTTACAGGCGCGACTCGAGAAATCGGGGATTGAGACACAAGTGTCCCCGCAGGAATGTACCCTTAATCCAAGCTCGGGTGCATACAAGGTTGATCAGATCAGTTACATGAATATTAACGGGAAAACAAAATTGGCCCCCATCCAAAATTCATGGCTGGTAGGTATGAAGCACAGCTAACTGCAGGTTAAAGAATAAGCATGTACACTAAGGAAGCCAGCCGGCAACTTAAGAACCTATAAGCTTAGCACTCAATACAGCTCCCCCTCCTCCCTCTCCTGAAGGCGCATGCAGAGGGACAGACTGCCCTCCCTGCAAGCAGGCCGCCGCTTGGCAGCCACTGCGGGAGGCTTCCAGTCATCAACAGCAAACCCTACCACACCAGCAGCACCAGTGGCACCAGCAGCAGCTGAAGAGACATTGGTATTCTTCTGGTGTGCCAGATTGTGGTGGTGGCAGCACTTGAGGACCTCCTTGCTTGCCAGCAGCTGCAGCTGAGACATCTCTGCCAGGCTGTCGGTCACTACCCGAGGAACCTTGGTGCTTCCAGTATTGCCAAGCCCCTTCTCGCCATTCTGGCATGAGTCGTTCACCACACCGGCAGCTACAGGCATTGCTATGAAGCCAGGTAAGGCGTCAGCAGCTTTCATGGTCGCAGCAGCAACCAATTCAGCAGTCGTTGCGACTGGCAGGTTCGTAGGCACGGCTGCCACAGGGGTAGGAAGGTCTCCCGCTACCATCTCTGGTAGGATCTGGGTGCGAGCCTCAGGGATAGCAGTTCCAGCATCCGTTGTGGGGAACCACTTGCTTAAGAGGTACTTAGTACGGCGCCAGGGAGCTATCGCGATTCCACTGCTTTGGAGTGACAGGTTCATGGCAGTAGCCAGAGCGGTGACAAGTGGTTTGAGACGCTGACGTCCGCCGACGAACACGGACGGAAGCTGCGAGAGAAGCTCGGCATAGCGAGGGGTCGGGCGAGCCACTTCAAACTGCTGCCTGAAGGACACATCCACAACCACACGCTGAGACGGCAACAGCAAGCACGGCTGCGCGGAAAGCGCGGTCCACTGAGCAGTCGACTGCTGCTGGTTCTGCTGCTTCTGCTCATGCTGCTCGTTATTGAGAGAATGAGGTGATCCTTCAGGTTTCCTGCTGTGCCAGTTGGAGGGCTTGAATGGGGAACCATCCAGAACAGAAGTGGGAGACCAACCTCCAGAACCTGATCCCTTTGCGCTTGATGCCATAGAGATTTCCAAGAAGTCGTATTCTCCTGATGGAGCCTCATGGGTGGTTGGCCACGCAGCATGACACAGCATGACGTCATGACGGCGAGAGGCTGCCAGACTAGCAGCGACCTTCATGCGATCAACAGCAATCGCGTCACGCGGAGGCGAAGACGACGGAGAATGATGAGCAGGAGGCGATTCAGTTGAAGTGACTCCAATGGGAGCTTCCGAGAGAAAACCTTTGGTAATTGTAGAGGTGGCAGGCTGGATTCCGTATTTCGGGGATTCCATTACCAGCTTCACGTGTTCTTCCAGTAGTTTCTGCGAGGGAGCAGCGGTAGCAAGGCACTGCAAAGACGAATGATAATTATTAGACTCTGGAAGCCAACCAGTGAATATAATTATATATGTGGCAAACAAACCAGTTCATTGTAAGCTTACCAGCTTGACGGTCATGGCTAGTTCAGCCCATTCGTCTTCCTCGTCGGAATCGCGAGACATGGATTGTGCAGCCTTCGTCTGTTTAGACGATTCTTGTGTGGACACCTGAATTGAATCCTCATGATAATCAAGGTCCAGCTCTTGATCCTTGGCAGCAACCACAGAGGGGCCTCTGGCATCTGCACCAGGGTGCGTCAGACCAGCAACCACAGGAAGCATAACGTTAGGTTTACTGACACGCCGACGCTGCTGAGCAGCAGCGGGTGGGGTCTTGCCTGAAGCTTCCTGAACCATTGTTGGCTTGATGACAGCTTTGTGCCTGAAGAAGCGCTCAACCACAGATGCTTCTACGGGATCGGAGATCCGCTTGCTCCGCCTTGCCGGATTCATCTCGCTCGAATGCCTCGATCAGAGAAGAACTGGTTGCAGACCACCTGCGCGTTAATGAAACCACTCCTGCGATGCAGATTTCACCATCCAGAACGGACTGCCAGACTGGGCCGAAGAGAACGCACGGTTCCCGGTGATCTCCATGCAGATCACCACACTCCTCAAGTAACCTCGACTTCCTGTTCCACAGATGCTTCGGAATTGGCCGTGACTTGCTAAATCACCATGGCCAACGGATACTGGTGTCAATGTATGGTATACGAGCTTCAGTAGCTCTAACCATGGGTTGCATTGACAGAAGGCGACTGCGAGGGTCTGAGCCTCGGCAGAGAGTGGAGAGGGAACTAAGGCAGGAGTAAATTGAACTGAGAACCACGAGCTATTATCATCGTTCAGTGAATCACTCAACCTCAGGCAGGAAAGCGAAGGGTGCGTCAGAGAGAGCCACTGGTGTCCTGTACAGTCAACACCAACTGGGCCAGCTGATAGGGGGGAAGACGATTCAGGCGGAGGGGTTAGAGGGGAAGGTAAGGGGGACAGGTGGGGGGGGAGGAGGACAGGACGCAGGTGTGGAAAGATTCCTCACGTGACTGGGGGGTTGGGGGAGGATGAAAAGACGTGGTTAGGGGGAGGGAATCTGGGATCAGGTCAGGTTCTGAGCAAGCTTGACGGGAAAGTGAACCGTTTGACGGCACGTCGATTTCGAGAGCAGGGAGACCTGACGACGACGTTTGTGCGAAGCTGACGGTTGACTTTTGTCAGCAGCACCGAACCGAACAGCTTCTTCATGCGATGACCGGCACGGATTGGCGGTGCAGAGTGGTGGGAACTCGAGGGAAAGATGAAGACCGCCAAAAAACATGGTTTGCGATGGTTATGACGATAATTGTTTGTTGTCAATCGTGCCCCCAAATTACGGCGAAAATATATTGGTATTTGCGAAACGCGTCGTTGAGACTCCAAACCAGAGGGTGTTGAAACGATCACGGATGTGTTCGTTCCGCTCGGCAGCGTTCCCCGCATCCCAGAATGGCGGGGACGAGCACTTCCATAGCATTTTTCACCCCAAGTAGATAGAACAGCACATCCCCCTCCTGCCAGACTTCAAGGTTCGGGGGGGCCAAGCAATGCTGACTGAGCTGGGGGAAGATGGGATGGAATGGGGCAAGTGGACCCTCATCTTCGCGTGGAGTGGCGCGGAGATGAGTGTGTGACTCATGGGCCATGTCGGTGCTGCTCTGTGGCTGGTCCTCTCCATCTGAACAACTTTCGTGGCACCACATCGTGCTTTGTATCGCCAACGGTGGAGACGGCCGGCTCTTGATTGGTGAGATAAATAAATTCACTTGCAACCGTGGAAACCAGCGCGGCTGCTCTTCAGATCCAGCATCAGCGTATGCTGTGTTTGACCTGGTCCACGTGTGCACAGAGTGCTGCAGGGATATTTGTCACGGAGCTGCTCCCCCTGAGTGTGGTTGGTGGGACCACTCGCCGTAGGCCTGACGTGGCTGACATCAAAAGATTCCCTTTCTGTTCAACTGGTGTCAGCTTTCGCTACTGATGGCCGTCCTCGCCTAGAAAGGCTCCACAAATCATAATCAAATTGCAGCAATCCGAAGTGTGGCTATTCCTTACCGCGACCGTCCGCATCGCGTACAGCAGCAGCCGTTGTTCACCCGTTACTACTAACGGGGCTTCGCCAACTTCGCGCGCACTGTTTCACCAAACCTCGCACTGCTGGAGCAGCCGAGTCGGCCTACGCTTTGGGACTAGCCCGAACCTCGCGCCAGCGTAGCACTAGCTAGCTCGCACGCACCGTGTTACCGTTTGCACATTTCCGCGTATAAGTATTTGCTCATGCCTTCGCTCATATTTTGTATGTTAGAATGTAGAACTGAACGAGAATGTGTGAAACTAGGCAGCAGGGTGATACAAGTAGGAAACCCTAGCAATGTTGTACCCCCTAAGGCTAAACCCACTATAGCCTACACAATATGAACATGTATAATGTTTGACACACCCCCATAGGCTAAGTGGGAGACAACCAGATGGTCACAAGACCAGTCAAAGCAAAGCAAAGCAAGCTCAGGGTGGATCTCAAGGAAACCACACAAATTCCGAGCACAAGCAAGTGGTCACAAGACCAGTTCACATGCAGTTTGATAATATAACAAGAGGTACAGTGATCACAACCTAACAAGAGTAAACATGCAGTTATATATATATAGAGATCACAGTACAAGCAGAGTCAAGAAGTGAGCAAGTGAGGGAGAGTAGGCACAAGGCCTAGAACAGTACAGAAACGCTGATGGTCACAAGGCTGAAGCGCCTTGGTGAACACATCAGCAGTGTTGGCCCGAGTGGCCACGTAACGCAGACGAAGCTGACCACGCTGCTGCAGCTCTCGAGCAAGGAAGTAGCGCAGAGCGATGTGCTTCGTCCTGTGCTCCAGTCTGTGCTCCTCACACAAGGCAATGGTGGCCTTGTTGTCAACGTACAGCACTGGAGGAGAACGAGGCCGCTCTCCCAGGTCGGTCAGCAGGTAGGTGAGCCAGCGTAACTCCTGTGCAGCCATGGCTGTGGCGTAGATCTCAGCCTCACAACTGGAGCTGAGAACAGAAGAAGAGCGAGTAGAACGCCAAGAAACTGAACCAGAGCCAAGGCTGAAGGTGTAACCCTGAGACGACCGCTGCGTAGCCTGGTCGTCAGCCCAAGAAGCGTCTGAGTGACCCGTGAGGACAACGTCGCTCCGACCTCCAAGCACGAGCCCCATGCCCGACGTACTGCACAAGTAGCGCAACACCCTCTTAGCGGCATCCATGTGCTCCTTCCGGTGACGGCCGGGAGCGACATAGCGTGCTAGGATGCTAAGAGGGTATGCCAGGTCAGGTCGAGTGCAGGTCATCAGGTACATGAGGCAGCCCACAAGCTCTGGATACGGGCCACTCGGCTCTACGGACTCATCCGAAGGCAGAGCTGAGAGCGAGTGACCGGTAGGCAGAGGAGTGGGCTGAGGCGAGGAGTACGTGAAGCGGAAGCGCTGAAGGACCTGCTGCACCATGTGTGACTGAGTCAAGGTGATGGTGCGCTGTGCTCTGTCCCGGGTGATCCGCAAGCCAAGATAGCTTGTCAGCTCACCCAGGTCTGTGCACGTGTGTCTCTTCTGCAGCTCCGACTTCACGTGGGCGAGTGCCTCAGTGTCAGCAGTAGCAAAGACCAAGTCGTCTACGTAAACAAGAACGTAGAATGGCGGCAGAGTGGTGTCGGTGCGTAGAAACAGCGACGGGTCAGCAGTAGAAGGAGCAAACCCAAGAGCAGCAAGAGTAGTCCTCAGTGTGTCGTGCCACTCACGGGGTGCTTGGCGGAGACCGTAGACTGGCCGTCGGAGGCTCCACTGGGTACCAGGAGGGAACGACCCAGTGAAGCCAGGTGGGCGGCGCAGCCAGATCTCCTCGTGCAGGCTGCCCTGTAAGAACGCAGTGCTGAAGTCAAGAGAGTGGAGCTCGTAGTCACGCTGAGCAGCGACGTGCAGCAGAACCCGAAGAGTGGTCATCTTCGGGGTCGGGGAGAAGGTCTGGAAGAAGTCAACTCCCTCTCGCTGACTGAAGCCTCGTGCAACGTAACGCGCCTTGAAGACAGGCGGAGAACCCGGCGGCCGCTTCACCCTGAAAATCCACATGCCACTGACGATGTTCGCCCCAGGTGGGGGAACCTCGTCGACGTAGGTGCCTGTGGACTTCCAGGAAGCCATCTCTGCGTCCATGGCTGTCTGCCACTGAGAGGAGTAGGGACCCTCCATCGCCTCTGCGTAGGAGCGTGGGGTCGGGATGTCTGGTGCATCCGGGTCTCCCTCAGGGGCAACTAGCATGGACACGAGATGAGGCAAAGCAGCGGCAAAGCACTCAAACTCCTCCTGTCTGTCCTCAAGGACGTCCGTGCCAAGAGCACACTCACCCCCGACAGACGGAGGACAGACAGACTCAGACTCAGACTCAGCAACAAGGCTAGCGGCGTAGTCTAGACGACAGGCAGCAGCAAAGTCAACAAGCTCAGCGACTAGAGCAGACGCAGCAGAGGACTCAAAGGAAGGGTCAGTGACAGCAGTGGCAAGGAGACGCGTGACAGTAGGACTGGCAGCACGAAGAGAGTCAGACTCCGGGTCAGCAAGAGCAGGAAGAGAGGACGCTGGTGGAGACGGCAGTGGGACACGCTGTGGAGCAGTAGAGGGACGCAGGGTCATATAGTGAGTGCCAAGGACAGGAGGAGGACGCTGACGTGGAACACGACGACCAGCGCGGACAGCGCGGACAGGCGACTCTGGACGCGACTCAGACAACTCTGGACGAGTCTCAGGCGACGGAGGACGAGACTCAGGCTCACGACGCTCCGTAAGACCTCCCGTCGGCGCAGTGTAGGGAGAAGGACCAGGAAGTGGAGAGACTGGCTGTAACTGTGACTGCGACTGGACAAGCGGTGGACTCAGTAGGGGAGGAGTAGGACCAGGAGAGGGCCGAAGGCCAAGAACCTGCTGAAGGAGCGGAACGTAGTACGGCCGTGGCCGCTCAGCACCTCCAGCTCCAACCCCCTCAGCAGGGCCAGTCCCAGCAGCTCCAGCAGCACCGCCAGCAGCAGCAGGGTCCCCAGCAGCTCCAGTACCAGCAGCACCTCCAGCAGTGCCAGCAGCACCACCAGCAGCAGCAGCACCTCCAGCAGCTCCAGCAGCACCAGTACCAGCAGCACCTCCAGCAGCGCCAGCAGCACCGCCAGCAGCAGCAGCAGTACCACCAGCAGCTCCAGTAGCTCCAGCACCAGTAGCACCTCCAGCAGCGCCAGCAGCACCAGCAGCACCTCCAGCAGCGCCAGCCGCACCGCCAGCAGCAGCAGCACCTCCAGCAGCTCCAGCA